AAGTTACAAAGTTTCAGTTAGGAAGAATAAATTCTGATGCTCTAGGGTGACAGTAAACTAACAAAATTGCATTGTATATTTCAAAATAGCCAGAAAAGAGTATGTTCAATGTTATAAACAAAGTTACAAAGTTTCAGTTAGGAAGAATAAATTCTGATGCTCTAGGGTGACAGTAAACTAATAAAATTGCATTGTATATTTCAAAATAGCCAGAAAAGAGTATGTTCAATGTTATAAATGCAAGTAATAAATGTTTAGGTGATAGTTATACTAACTATTCTGATGATTAGATCATGATACAATACATGTATGTATTGAAACTACAAACTGTACACCATAGTATTAAATCCCCTGATATCTCAAGACTGGTAACTAATTTAAAACTTAAGGGCTGGCTGATACATGTATGTATTGAAACTACAAACTGTACACCATAGTATTAAATCCCCTGATATCTCAAGACTGGTAAATAATTTAAAACTTAAGGGCTGTCCATTAGCTTGGTTACTTAGAGCACAGCCTTATAACCCCAAGGTCATAGGTTTGGATCCTCGTACCAGCCAGCCAAAGAGAGAGAGAGAGAGAAGAAAGAAAAGAGAAGAGAAGAAAAGAGAAAAAGAAAAAAAAAAAATATATATATATATATAAAATAAAATAAATGCTTTTTACCAGTCAGCCCATCCAGGGGTTTTGAGCAGGCCATCTGGTGGGGTCTACAGAACACTTGCTGCTGGAATCCTCAAGTAAGCTTGCCTGGTACCTGGGTCAGCAGGTGGACAGGCCTGGTTCCTGGTCCACAGGGACTGGCTTTGATTAATAATTTGGCTGGAGATATAATTTTAGGTTGAAGAACATTTACCTTCAAAATTTTAAAGGCGTTGCTTCATGGTCTTCTAATATCTTATAACATCTATTTTGTTAAGTCCCAAACCCATTCAGGTTCTTAATTCTTTTGTGTGACTTACTTAATCTGTTTGGTGCTTTTAGGATCTGTTCTTTATTCCTGAGATTCTAGTATTTCATGCTGAGGTATCATAACGTTGTTTTTATTCTCTCATTTGCCTAGGCATTCACTGAGATATTTCCTTTGGAAACTTGAAATCTCTGAAATTTTATTATATTATTTTCTTGATCATTTACCCCCCACCATTTTCTCTGTTTCAAACTTTGATTATTCACTTTTTATGTCCAGTGCCTAGCACCATGTCTTACACATAATAAGGGATCATTAAATTTTTTGAATAATTAAACACAATTAATTCAGATCTTAAATTTCTTGTCCTACTAATAGAATTTTCTTCTTTTCTATATTCCATCTTTCTTTTTACGTTGTACTTTCTGTGAAACTTTATTACCTTCTATTCCTTGTATTTTTTTAAAGTTTTTTTCAATTTTTTTTCTGACATCATTCTCTTATGGGATTATTGTGTATTGTTTCTAGAAGTGTTCTTCTTTTGAATTTAAAAAAAATTTTCTCCAGTCTAAAGGGAGGGAGAGAAAAAAATTTTCTTCATTGTCTTTTCTGTGTTCCTTTTTTCTCTTTATTTTAATCTCTCATGTTTAAGATTTTTTTGCAATATCTAGTGACTGATGGATATCTGCTCATATAAAACTGGGGAATTAAAGAGCTGACTTGTGCTTTTTGTGTCTGAGGGATTGCAGATTTACTGAGGATTGTCATGGTAGAGTGATCTACATAGAAGAATTTATTGTCTTTTCTCTTTGGCTGGTTCTCTCAAGAATGGAATCCTCTACTTTCTTTCCAGTAGTTAATAAAATAAACTTGGCTGCCAGGTTCTTGGAGTTTACTGCAAATAGCAGGCAGGGGAATCAGCCTGCTGTATGGGGGAGATTTAAGAATCTGAGGTCTATTTCTTATACAGATTTTCAGTTAATCTTCCTTTTTTGTAGTCTCTCGTGTACCCTACTTTCAATGGTACCTGATGATTGCTATTCCTGAAAATATCTGAGATTCTACAGTAGGACCAATCTGCAATATAGGTTTTATGTTTTTTCTAGTTGATAAGTCACTTATCCTTTTCTGTTTACTCTCTAGCTTCCAAATTTTTATCGCTGCTCTTTCCTCTTCCTTTCTCCCTGTCATTTTGGAGTTTCTTTTTTCATTTAATCTTATTCCTACCACTTTACTGGTAATTCATAAAAGAGCAGTAATAATTACATGTATTCAATTTGCCATGTTTGAGACAAGTCTATCCTTTTTTCTAAAGGAATATGTTTAGATGTTTTTATGAGGAGTATACATTTAGACACTTGCTGACTGAGTCAGTCAGTAATATTTTTTGATCTTCCAAACATGTACCAGACTCTGTGCTCAGAGTTGGATACACATTGGTGGAGATGACAGACATTATCCTTGCCCTCACAAAACTTAAGACCTATTGATAGTAAATGAACCCAATAAATATGTAATTTCAAATTGTGAAAATCCTGTTAAGAAAGAGAACAGAGTGCTGAAAAGAGTAATTCCATAATTTGGTCATGGGACCAAGAAGGCCTCAGAAAGTATGACCTTTAAGTAGAGATTTAGAAAATGAGCAGTAGTTACCAAGGCCAAGAATGAAAGAAAATACGCTCTAGACTTAAGAAAGAGTACCTGGAAAGGCCTTGAGAGGGACAAAGAGCTGGAGGCCTTTGAAGAACTGAAAAATAGGGCCAGTGAGGAGGGAGCTTAGAAAGCAAAGGGGAGCATTGAGAGAGATTTGGTTGAGATGCACGTAGGAACCAGATCACTGAGAGTTTCGTACACCATGTTCTAGAAATTGGCTTTTATTGTAAGAACAGTATTGTGTGGGAAGCCACTGATTTTAAGAAGAGCATTGGCAGGCTAATGTCATCCTAA